ACTATTCTAATTTGTGCTAAGAAAAAAAAAGCAGCCATATTTGTATTGCTCAGATGATTTAAGCCTGTAATGTGTGTGTAAGTAAGTAGGGGAATGTACAGCATTTTCTACATCAGGATATAGCCATTGGATTCCTTTAACCATTTTTTTCTACTTTTGGTTGGCAGTTTGGCTATTTAGTGGGGTTTTTGTAACATTCACATTTCTAATTTTCAAGAGATATAGGTATATCTATATATATATATAATATATACACATATGAGAACATGCAGTTCCACCTCTCTGCTCTGCTTGTAGCTGAGTTACTTTGGATACAGTATCCAAAGAGTGAGGGCTTGATGTTTTAAAAAAAAAAAAAGAAAAGAAAAGTGCGCACAAACTTCCATTGCAATGGAAACCCCAGTGCCTAGGTTGATTATGGCATCAAAAGAGGACTGAACTAGAATGATTCAGTAAGGAGTGGCCCTATTAAAATAGGGAGAGAAGAGGGGAGGGAAAGTCAGAAGTAGAGATTTGAGCTGATTTGAAAGAGCAACTGTATAATACAGAGCTAATCACCTTTAACAGGATTGGCAGACTTTACCAGATTTGAGTCACTGGTTTCACACAATCTAAAACTACTAGGCTTTTGGGAAAATTCCCATAGCACTGAGAACTATGGCTAATACCCTCTTAATTCTTTAACATTTTTGCACACTGGGTTTGAGATTGTTCCCAGGGGAGCTTCCATTGCTGGCAATGGATGTTACTGAAATGGCAAATGCCACTAAATGAATATTGATTCCCCTCTCCCACCACACACACTTCCTATTGTGTTTTTAAATAAGTAGAGCATGCTCCCCTGGTAATGCAGTCACAAAGCAAGTAAGACTTAGCCACTGCAGACCATGGTATGCCGACAGAGTTGAATGTTTTTTTTTTTTTTTTCTTCTTCCAACTAGATCAAGCTGTAGAGCAACTTCTGATTGATAGTCAAAAAAAAACCATACTGTGCTGACAAAGGAGTCCAGTCTCTCTCTTTCTCTCCTTTTTTTTTTTTTTTTTGTTTGGTCTGTCATGGATAGTACTCTATGCTAATTTGCATTGCTTCTTTTACTGACCTTCTGGAGAAACAAGTGCTTTCACTGTGCTCTGTACCTTTGTTTTCCTGTACTACGTTACAGGTATTTGTAACTTTTGGTGGGGGGAAGGGAAGATGGGGAGCAGCCTCCAAGATGCTGGAGGTAACAAAACAGGAGCAGTCTTTACTGCAATAGACCTTGCTCCTATCAGAAAAACTCTGAATTTCCTGGAAAACAATCAATAAATGACTACAGTGCATCTTTCCTACAAGGTTTTTCTTTTGCTAGTGTCTTTCAGTCCATTAAGAGCCTTTTAAGCTATTAGACAGACACTTTATTTATCACTTTCTTAAATTTAAGGTGTTAAATACACTAATCCAAGCACCATTATTTTAGCCACCACTTCTGTTCGTTTAAGCAGGAGCCAGAAGGAAAGAACAGATTAACTAGAGGCTTTAAAACCATTGCTTCCCTCTGCAACAGGGTTTAATGCCTCATTACACATTCCTGTAACTGCAACTTTTGTTCACTGCATCTGGCACACACTTTTCCCCAGCTCGCTTTTGTTAAAGATGCTCAAAATTAGTGTGTGCACCCTTGGTTGTTTTACTCGTCTCCTGCTAGAATCAGGGAGACATGGGCAAAAGTGGCCACTCATGCAGGATCAGAGGGCCCAGTGGTGTGGCCTCCTGCATTGGCAAAAGCTCTTATACCAATTTTGAAAGAGGCAGTAGTCTTTAGAAGATTTCAGTAAGCTGCACGGCAAACCGTTGTAGTTTACAGGCTTGTGTAGTTTAATACTGCCTCCTTTCTACATACCCCTTTTCTCCTTGCCTGCAAACCAGTCCTTGTGCATAGACTGAGTAGCAGAAACATGCAAAGTCTGGCCAACAGAAAGCTATACAGTAATAAGCCAATTGAATGCTAGTATTTGTTAAATCATTGCATTTAACAACATACATAAGTTAGATAATTCTCTGCAGCTCTTTTTGACTTTGATGAACTAAGTACCTGGCAACAGCCCCTGTTTTAAAAGACAAGTTAACTGAATAGGATCTGACTCAAGCTTGCACTGAAGACATACCAGATCAAGAAGTTTAAGGAACTGAATGCAGCTCACCCAGACCTGGACTAACTTACCTCTGTTAGGCCAACTAACTTTGTTAATACTTTACATAATTACATTTAGTCCACTTTCTCATGAACTTATATCTACTCATATCTGGACCAAACAAGATTTAACATGCCATGTATACATATCAAGCAGAACTACTGAACTTCATCTATTCATATAACTAGAAGATAACTGTATATGGCAAGTCTGGTAAAAGTTAACTGCAGCAAAATGGAGTTATTACAGCAACAGCAGCAATACTGCAAGAGGCATACAGAAACACATACCTATTTTTATCCTCCTCACTTTCCTTCCTGACAAAGTAATTTCCAGGATTTGAAGTCATCAGACACACCACATGACAAAAAAGACAGAAGTTGTAGTTTTTCAGAAGAGTCATCAGTTAAACCTTCACTGCATTTAGCATTTGTACTATGTTTAAAGAGAAGCCTACGCAGTTGAATAAATCACCTTCCCAACATCAGAACAAAATTCCTATATGTTTATAATGCCTTTTCACATCCAACCCTGCCAGCTACTGAAAAAAATAATGTTTTAATATCCTTCAGCCTCATGTGCAAACAAACAACTAATGGAAACTAATTTCATACACTTACAAAGCTCCTGTCAGTAAGGCACTCAACACATGATTGACACACGTAAGTCTCAAAACTGAAGTAGAAAATGAAATCCTTCAAACAGTTAGATTCCTCTTGGCAACTTGCATTATAATATTCCTTACCTCACTTCTGCTGAGCTTAACTATAGTTTGAAAGCTGTAAGAGGCTTTCCTTTAAAATCTTCATCTGAAGACAGCAGGTCAAAAGACTTTTCTGGATTGACTGCTCTGAAAACACTTTCATCTCTGCCAGGGACTTTGACTCAAATGTTAGTTCTGGGAGAAAGTAAAATTCATGTGGGTGGGTGTGTGCAGGTTTTTTTTTTTTTTTTTAAATAAATACAAATGAAAGTTAGTCTCCTCCAAAAGCCAATTGCCTCTTTTTTTTCTGCCACTACGTAACACTACACAGTGTTTACATAGAACAGTTGGTTTGGGGTTCTTTTACCTCCCCTCTCCCCAATATCATGGTCCAGGTTACATGCTTGCTCCTCTATTAATAAGAAACATGTATTTCCATTTTAGTTCACTGATCCTCTTACAAAGAGCATTCAATGCAATTAAGGCCAGATCACAGGAAAGACAAGTAAACTACACAGTACACGAAACACACCAATGCCAAAACAAAGGTCGAAGCCAAACTCCAGTATCTCAGCATTCCATGCATTCACCTCCAAAATACAAGTTTTTTTGCCTTAGGAAGCAGAGGTAAATTACTCCCTTGTTGAATTATTTTGAAAGGGTTCACCAAAGAACGGCAACCTTCAGTGTCAGCAGCTCCAATTAGACTGCATAAAGAAATAGTGAAAGTTGGTTCTCATTAGGTCTATTGCAATTTTCTTAAGGTTCAAGGTCAGAGGGGAAAAGAAGAATCCTCATCAGACACTACAGGAGGAAGTTTGGATACAGTGGGCCTGCGGCAAGTTGCAGAAAGGTAGTAATCGGTCTACTGAAGACATTCAGGCTTACTAGCAATAGCTTTTACTGTTGGCTACATGAAAACTTCAGGTTTTGACAGGAGCAGTAGGGACAGGCCCTCACTTCATTCACCACCTCACAGAAGATAAACTGACAGTAGGCTTCAGAAACAGACACAACACAGGTAACCCAATAAAGCAGCGTGAACAACAGTGCCTTGTTTAGTAAGAGAGAAGCAAGAAAACAACATTCAATACAGCACTAAAAATGACAATCTTCTGGACCACATATGAAACTTTGGCTTCTTAAATCGGCAATAAAACAAAAAAGTCACTTTACCATATTCATAAACACAACCTTAGAGTATTCTAACTGTAACCAGTTACCTTAAAAAGGCTTGACATTTCTTAGTCAAGCATATTTTGAATTAAAATTGGCTAAAACACAGGTGTGGAGCAAAATCTGAAGGGTGAAACACCAGTAGCTTTTTTCAAAATAGTTTTAATTCTTGCATCCAAGGAAACAAAAACACGTCTAGTTTTATATGCATTTAATAGTTTACCAATTGGTACAATAAGATTTTTTTAATATGCAGAAAACATGAATAAATTTTGTTTTACACAGTCTGAGAGCAACAAATCTTACTGTAAAACACAGAGCAGTATTATATACATTCCTTTACTGATTTTTTTTGTGTGTGTCAATATCTTCAGTTAACTCCTACAGTCTGGGAACTGTTTTCTCCAATTGCAACCTCTAACATCGTTCTTATGAAAAAAATTCGACGTTTGCCTTCATGTCAATGTCAGGATCAACTTCTAAAACTTGAGGATTTTGCTAACTTATCTTCAGAATGAACTTGGGGAAGCCTGAGGAATAGGTAGGACAGGAAAGCAGCTACTTACATGACACAGTGGAAAGATAAAAAGGCCAGTTAAATCCAGTTGTGACTTGTAAATCCAACTCAACCTTCCCCACACCTAATATATTTTTCCTGCCATTTTACACATGTATTTTTTTTTGCTAAAAGATTCTTGGTAGTGACTTTAAATACACTGGACTTTATGCACAGCTGGACAGTAAATAACTCAGAAAATCTAAGTGCATTTTTCCTCCACTCAACTCAGTATTGTTTATACTCAAAATCATTAAAAGGATTATCAAGCCACCACTGTCTACAAAAACAAAGTATAATCTTTTTCTTTTAAATAGCTTTCATGTGAGTCAAAAGCTATTTAAGAGTGATATTATCAGGCAGTTCACATAAAAACAGGAGGAGGCAAACAGGAGAAGCAGGGTACTGACAGTATAAGTAGACTGGGCTTGGTGAGTCCATAGCCAAAGCTTTCAAAACACTACAGTGCTCCACAGCCCTCGGACAACTTGCTAGCAACTAGGGTTTTTTTTTTTTGTTTTTTTTTTTCTCCTTTTTAATTAGTGCCCCGGGCACATCATTGGTCACACCATACACAAAAGCAGGACGGTTTTTTAATCTTCTAAAGTGCAAGATGCTATAAAAGATCAACTTCCAGATTATGTCTAAACCACAATAAATGTTGCACTTTTTAGAATGCATCTAAGACTTCCTGGGCACGTTACATTTGTGTGGCACTGGAATGTCTGTGTTTTTATGCCAAAAAAAAAAAAAATCTGTATTGTCTATTTAGTAACAGTTTCTATAGAGGTTTTTAAGCAATGCCAATTTTAGTAAGGAAAGTGACAAAGCAGCAGTGAACCTCTTAAACCCTCCAATAATTTATTTTGCAATCCAAACCAGTAACCTCATTATTGTACTTCTCACAGGAAAGGCACAGGATTAGACAGCTGACAAAACATTGCAAATAGTGAAAAAGTTCAACACAGTGTAATATCAAGGAACAACACTGCAGGAAACGCTCATAAATCCAACTCCTGTGTTGTGGCTTTCACTTTTTTTTTTTTTTTTTCTTCTCGTCTTAAACAGGGCTTTAACTTTTGATCCATTCAGGACCATCCCTGAGATTATTCACTGCTTGTTGAAGGAGAAGGTTGCAAATTGCAATGTAGAAGTACTTGGCAGGGTTTTTCCTACAAGCAATTAAAATGCTGCTTAGGTGACTTTAGTCAGTTGTTTGTCTTTGTAAATAGCTGTATGCTAAAGGGAAAAAAATGGAGTGGACAATTTCCACTTAATAGGTACCTTTAATTTCTCATTCATGTTAATGAATTATGTACATGAGTGCTGTTTACTTTATAGTTAAAGTTTCTAGGTCCTATCAGGAACTAAAGTGATGTACTACTTCACAACTGCAGACGCACGGAGGAATTTTAAGATGCAATATTATCTGGAATTCTCAAATAGGACAAAGAGCAGCAAATTGTTCCAGTCCAAACAGCTAACAAAGAAAAAAATACTTTATCTGTGCATGCTTAACTGTGGAAACACACACTTAAAATCATAGAAGCCACTGGATTTAAGAGACTAGCCTAGATCTTAAACTGGCTCCAAAAACCCCACAGATTAGAACTCCATTTCTCCACCCCTTCCCAGAGGCAAGTCAATGCAAGAAACCAATACTGAAATCCATTCCCTCCACACAGAAGAGCAGACCCTTCTATGTGTGACTGTAGGAAACTAACCACCCTACCCCTCACCATTTCTTAGTGTGTACACCCTCCAACCGACCCTATGCTGGTCAAGGATTCTTATTTTTAAAAGGGACAGTTTTAAAAGCCATGTATTAAACAAAATGAATAAAATAAAGCACAAATTCACCTGTTAAAATGTCAGACTGGTACTTCATTATACTGTAAATTTTAAAGTGGATTTTAAAAAAGACCTGGTTAGTTCAGTAAGTATTGGAACTCTTAATTATCTACAATGGAATTTGTCACAAAAATGCTGATTAAAACTCTTTTATAATATCTTCATTCACTTCAGATCAAAATATGTAACTTCAGGGATATGCAAATTAAAAATTGTATACACCAAACAATGTAAATACTAATTATCAAATCAGGCTAGTTTTTTGTCTTTTGCTTTTTTAATGCTTACTTGATAGCATCATTCCCACACATGGACTGTTCAAGTGTTTCTTTTTTTTCTTTTTTTTTTTTTAAGAAGCTTCTATCAATTTGAATCTGCCATTATAATCTGATGCACAAGGTTTTTAGTGCTTTCTTTAAAGCATTTAAATACTGTATCTCAAGATATTTCTCAATATGCAAACCACAGTAAGTTTTTATTCAAGCCACATTATGTCTTTAAGGTACATATAACCTCATCTTCAAAAGGGTTTCCAAGGAGGCACTAAAGAAACCAAGAAATTTTTGTATACCCCAACCTCCTGCACGTGAATATAAGGGAAGTGTACTTTGATACTGTTGTGTAATAAGAATTGCACATTTCTAACAAACATTGAAAGCAAACAAGCAAGTTGTACCATGGCAGTCATTTGGGAGATTAAGCTCTACTGGAAATTAGATCACTAAATTCTAGTGGGATGGACAACTCCTCCTGGAAGTTTGTCTAGCATAAAAAAAAAAGTTTAAACTTAGTTTAACAGCACAGCTTAACCATTGCATGACCAAATAAAAAATAAATACATTTATCACATCAGCTGCTACTAAGATTCGTTGTCTTATTTCAGGTTTACAGTTAGTTATATAAATATACCAACCCTTGTGTAATAGGAGGCCAAAACAAGTGTATTCTGTTGATTTGGCAAATGTTTCATGACAAATATTCCAAAGTTTAATTAATTTCCATTAATTACATATAAGGTTCAGAAGATTCTGAATTGCAGCCTTATTATCTAGTATCCTTAGAGAAGATTTATTAAGCACACTTAAGTGATGTTACATAGATACACATTTCTGAAAGAGCCCTACAAAACTTTTCCCAAATGAGGTCACCAATTCAGGCACCAACAGACAGCAGAAAGAAAAACAGGTATAATTATCCAACATAGAACGACACTGTCAACTATTCAGTTAAGTGCCCTATTTCAATTATCCAACTTCTGCCTTCTTAGGTCTGATGTGACCAATGCCAGCCCATGTTCTTAAACCTATGGTACTTCTAGACAACGTATGTAAATTTACAGTATACAATTTGGATTCACCATGCATGAATACTTTGTGTGTAACATTTAATAAGCTCAATCTACATCCAGAATAATTTACATGAAAGGACAATATTTATTTAAACAGAGCTCAATGGGTAACCATGGTATCTGAGTGCATCCAGAGGAAAAAGGGGTCAAATGTGAATTCAATCAACGGCACTCCCACACTTTTACTGTTTGATCTACACTTCCAGTAACCACATATGGTGCCGTCTTGTGGAAATCTGTGAGGAAAGAAAAGCTTACGTTAAGGAGGAATGCAACAATTTAGTCTTTGAGTCAGTATCACTTCTTTCAAAAAAGTAGTGACTTTCAGTGAGAGTAGAAAATACTAGACTAAGCTCTGTACGTCAGTAGTTTTGAAGGCAAATTTTCTAATGGTAAAATTTTCTAAAACAGGAAAGCATATTTTTCGGTCAGTTATGAAGGAACTTAGCTGGATTTCTTTTCCATGAAAATTTATAACAGAGGAGTTTCAAACATACCAAATTGATGAAGCCCGTGAATACTATCAGAAAACAGATAACTGTTTATTTATATACAAAGGTATTCAAAAAATCAGAAAGTAAACTTAAACTTTTCTTCTTGTAGTAGACAGTACTGGCCATGAGCTGATATTTCAAAAACTTAATGTACTCTCCTTTTAATGAGATATTTCATACATGCAAATCAACTTTGCACTGGATCAGCAGACAGTACTGGGAAACCTAACCAAGAGGAACCAGAAAGCTTCCTCATTTAGAAAAGGTTCAGCAAATCAATCCTCAAACTGAAGCAGCCAATTCCAAGAGTCTAATACTAATAACGTTCTTTAATTCAGAACTTTTCTTTGCCCCTTACTATTCAACTGGCTTCAATAATTTAAAAGTAAAGTTAATTTAGAAAGCCTGTATTCAAGAAGAATTTGATTAGAAAAACCTTAGTAGCCCAGGCATCAGGTCCACCGCTAACTTAACTTAGACAGCTTTACTGAAGAAACTAGAAACGACCAGTGGAAAATAGAGAAAGAAACAATACAGAGGATTCCAGAATAAAGCTAGTTTTGTTGAGCGGGGAGGGTTTTTTTATGTGTGTGTTTGCTTTTTGGGTTTTGTTTTGCCAGGGCAGGGAGAAACTAACATCTATCAAGATCCATTAATACTACAGAGAAATACCCATGAATTTAGAGTAACAGGTTTTCTGACTTTTGCCCTCTGCCCTTCCCTCTCCCTTTTTGTTGTGCTGACAAGCATTTATAATACAGCATTCCCCCACATCCCCACACACTCAGTGGTGAAAGGTTACAGAACGTTCTTGCAATTCATTTCTTTATCCTCAGTGCAACATTGGCAACAGAAATGGAAAATCCACAGCATTTGAAATCCGTACTTGTCCTTACGTGACTAAAATACGCAGAGCACAGAAACTCACTGCGTTCCCAAGCGTGAATATCTTAGCTTGGTGTTCAACTTGAGTTGGTGAAGATGATGTAGAAAAAAAAATTGCATCTCTGGTTCTGTATTTTGCAGTAAGCATTGCAGAACAATACGTACCCAAAGAGGTAACAAAGTGTTCGTGCGCATTGAGGGTTTTCATGCATCGTTTGTTCTTGAAGTCCCAGACGCGTAGAGTCTTGTCATCAGCACAGCTCAAAATAAATTTTCCCCCAGAATGGAACAGAACGCCACGTACCCAGTTATCATGGCCCACCTTACATACAAAGAGAAGTCGGTGAACAGAAGCATGTCTAAAGGCTTAATGTTCTACAGGTTATACTACGGCAAACTGAGTAACAACATTCCCCGTTTCTGCAACAATAATGTTTAGCTTTCTAAAACCTGCTACATTTCAAATTTTATCTTCAGTTTCTATTATTACATTCTATCAGTGCTACCAACAATGCGAGTTCCTGTCCTTGAAGACAAGCAAACAGCAGCCCTCCTGCGATCCGCACTGTGTTCTGCTCCCCACCCCAACAGCTATTCTCCAGCCTGAATGCAGGCAGGAACACGGCAGCCCATAGCCCATGAGAACACCAGCACTGGGAACACTAGCATGCTGCAAGAACAGGACAATTTCAAAGACGAAATCTGAAAGTTGGGGAGCGTTTAGGTTCCAAATAAACCAATTTATTCATCCCAAAACCTACACCACAGTACTCCAGCATCTATAATACACACGGTGAGATTACTTAGTATTTCTTAGCAACAACAAAAGCTGAACTATGGAAGCCATTGTAACCGCATATTTATAGCATTTGTCTTACTTCAGTGAGTCCGGCTACTCTTCAAAATATGAAGAACATTTAAGATACTTCATTCCATTAAACTTGTGTTACATATGCAGCTATCGCCACCAGAAAAGTCCCAATACACTTACAAGTGTCATAAGGCACATGCCAGTGCTAATGTCCCACATCTTAATGGTCTTGTCTCTGGATCCAGACAACAGAAAAGGCCCAGGCTTGCCACTCTTCTTAGTCTACAGAAAAATGTTTTATGTTATGGAATTTATCAGGTTAAAAAAAATAAGCAGAGTAGTAGAAGAATTAGATCATATGACAATTCATAGCTAATAAAAACACAATGCCCAAGCTGAGATTCAGGGGTTGTTACTAACACTAGGAGAAATCAGCAAAAAATGAAAGGAATTCAACAATTTGTTGAAAGAGTGGTTCTATTTCCTGCTGGTATACCAAGCCAAATCTTACTTTGAAACCAAACTTCCCTACTGCAACACACATGGTGGTAGATACAGTTCAATTAGAGATTCAGACAACTCCGGACAAAGAACAAAGTTCAGACATACCTTTGTGTGCTCATTCTTCATAAAAAGTAAGAATTTTTGAAGAGTCCCTATTCTGAATTTATTTCTGTTTGCAATCATGCAAAGTATGAATGAAAGAATTAGTTCTCAGAACTTGAAATGTTTCAGTTATGAAGTTAATATTAACTTGCTTCTTGTTCAAAGCTAAATACTGTAATGTGATGTATGTAGTTGATCAGACCAGCAGAGGGCAGGGGAGACACCACTTCAGATAATTACCACTGCAAGAGGAAGTGAGCATTTGGAATTTAATTATTTTTAATTAAAAGGTTGTAAGGATCTTTTCATTAAAACTGTGCTTGCATCTTTAAGTAATCTGTAAAATCCATCACCTTGCAAGTCACAGTATGTCTTCAGTGTATCTATTTTTCCCCTTTAGTTCATAATCACCTATAACAGGTTCATACAAAACTTTCTTCTTAAAGGTCAAGCAGGCCTTTGAAAATACTTTCAGCATATGACAAAGTATTATTAGCACAGTAGACTGGGTAAAAATGACTACTACATATATGAAGTCAATTCCAAGGCTGGTTGGCCACTAAACTTTAAAATCCTTAACACCCATCAGAAAAGTTTTTTTTTTTTTTTTTCTTCCCCTGAGGGTTTTGGTGGGTGAGGGGAGAAGGGGTAGAAGTGTTCATTTTTTAAATGGATTTAATTATTTTCTATGCCCTTTGTCTTGCCCTTTTTTCTACTCCGTTTTGTCATCCATAAAAGAAAATTTTTATTCACCTTGGTAAGCCTTCCTTAAAGATTTGGTAACAGAACCAGAGAACATGTGTACATGATCATACAAATAGGGATTTTTAAGAATGCTTTCTCCTATCATTAACTTTGTACACTAGGACACTGAAGTCAAAGCTTAACTCAAGTGCAATAACATTCTGTACAACAACCCAAGGGAACTTTATTTCTGCATTGCTGGCTCACTACTTCCCCCCCACCCTTCATCTGCTGGGTACTGTTATCATAATCTTCAAGTTGTATCAAATAAGCTACCTTCCGTCATTCTTTGATGAAATATGTGAAAGTGGCCCCATTCTCACGCTTCTCAGAAGCGGAGCATCTCTCTAAACTTCACTTCAACGTGCGCAAAAAGGCAGGCTCCCACTGCTAAACCAGGAAAGCATGGATCCCATGAAGCCAAGATGCGGGATTTAACAGTACCCCAAACGTACTCAGGGAAGGACTCATACTCCTGCTATACCTACTAAGTCCTTTGAAAACAGAGCTTAGTAATTTCAGTATTATCCAGTAAGTTGTGTATACAGCATAGACAAAATCTGACTGGTATGTCCGTATTTATTAGCATCGGAAACACTACCTCTGATCCCGTAGCTTCTGATATGGTGGAGTATGAGCTCTCAGGAGCCCAAGAAATGCATTCTACCACATGCTCATGTTCTCGGAGCTCAGCTTTGCATTCCTTTGTTGCTACCACCCAAACACGCACTGTTTGGTCATTAGAACAGCTGGCAATTAAGGTGCCATCCTGGTTAGGCCGCACCATGCGCACCCATTCTCTGTGTCCCGTAAAAGTCTTCACACAGTAACTGTTTAAAAAGGAGAAATATAGCATGACTCAATTAACATTGCAATAAAACTACTATATATGCCTTTGAAACATAAGGACACTGGACCTATTCTTAGAAGTTAAGATATGCTATTTTAGAATGCACGTATTAATCCTGGCTGATAACATACAAGACCATAAAATCATCAACTCATGGATAGGGAACTCCTCAGATGATGAAAAAAAGAGACAGTTAAAAATAAGTAAACACTTGATAAGGTAGAAAACAGTAGGCCGGGGTGGGGGCGGGGGGGAGAAGGACAGCTTGCATTAAATAGGTATTTAAGAACAAGTCAAGATGAACAGACAATTCAGATAGCTTTCACTGACAACTCTAAGCAAATTGATGGATCAAAGATACCAATGAAGAATGAAACAAACAATAAGGCAAAAATCAGAGGCAACAACCTGATCTGTACTAAGAAAGGTAACAGGTATCTCCTCCCTCCTCTCCTTAAACTTGTGGTTAAGCACTGCATTTATATTCATATCCAGTCTAAGTCATGGTGCTGTACCTTTATAGCTCCCATAAAGGCAGTTACTTTTAATTAGTGGCTACCAAAAACCTAAGCTTAATGATTTAAGGCAGAATCCTTCAGTTGTTGATTGTGAAGGGCACGATATTAATATCTAGATTCTTGAATGTCAGCAAAACCTTTTTTTTTTTTTTTTTGTACGTGGCTCCACTTTCTATTAAAAAGCGGTTTACGTTTGTTTTCTTTAGATGATGATGTTTAATTAGAACTGCACTTACCCTGTCTGGACTTCCCACATTTTGATAGTTTTATCCCTTGAGGCAGAAACTATATGATCTCCATTGGGCATGATGGCTACTGAAGAAACATTATGATCATGACCTAAAAACGATTTTCAAGTTGTTAGTAAGTGGTACTCTAATATTGTCTTTAACAGCATACAGGACCCACTGTTTTTCCTGAGCACCTAGCTACAGCAGTAGCCTGTAGTGCATGTTTTACAGGATAAACTCTACATGCAAATTTGAGGTTTTATGAAAGATTCATTTACATTTTTAGAACCACACAGTCCAGATATGGAGCATCATTTGGGATTGTTTCAAAAATTTCTAAAGCTGTTGTAAAATCAGCTACTCACCATTACGCAAGTGATGCTTTTACACAATTACAAAAGCTGGCAGTTTAGAAGACAGAGCTACTACCACGACTGTATTCAAAATTATCCAAATTAAGTCTGATTACAGCATTCTGATGTATTATACAGAAGGTGTTTCAAAGGAAAACAGATCTTCAGTGAGACAGCATGCCAAACCTCACTGCAAAAGCTTAATTATAAAAGACTGATAATTTCCACGTATCTGATATTAAGGTATTGACAAAATACTATACTGCACTGGTTCCAAGAACCAAGTAAGAATTAACTGTATATACATGATAGCAGCCTTTACGACTGTTGAGAGGTCTAAGAGGAAGACGACCAACGGACAGAGGAAGAAGATCAACCTCAGACAAGAAAAACCATTTTGATCATTTCCTCACTACAAACTCTTACGACCTCATACATGTGGTTTCAGCTCTTGACTTTATTCATCCCATGCTTGTTTTACTTTCTCTTCCATTTTTCCTATGGCTTTTGAGCCTAATGCAAAGGGCTTGTTCATTTGATGTCAGACAAACATGAAGCAAAAGATCGCACGTGAATTGCTTCCTTCCTGATCAAGTACATTAGGGAGGTAGAATGGTGTAGAAGAAGGTAATTTAACTGATTTGAGGGCTTGAGCATTTAATTTTTAGTGCTAAACCCATCTAACTGCCATTTCACTTCCAGATCATTATGGGATACCTCCCACAGCATCATGCATAGCAGATCTGAGATGCTATTTCACTCCACAGACACCAAGTATGTACTTGATTTACAGATCACTGAAAGTATAAAAATATTCCCCTTTCTTTTGGGCAACACTCTAGTTTATATCCCCTTTCCACATTAGCGGTTTTCCTGGATTAAAAAAAAGAAACACACACACACAAAAAACACAACCCTCTTAACTTTACAGACTGCTAAATCAATCCCCTTTATACCTTACCATGCATAGTTCTGATGCACTCAAAACCCTGGAAATCCCATAGCTTAATGGTCATATCAGCAGAACAGGAGGCCAATAGTTTGCCAGTGTGGTCAAAGGAAATATCTTGCACAGAGTCTGTATGCCCCTTAAGGGTTCGTTCAAAGTCTCCTGTCTCATAATCCCACACCTGACAAGTGAACAGAAAATCCGTTAACAGGAACCTATTACTCCTTGTTTTCTTCAGCCTTACATTTGCACTCCGTAGGCCAGTCTGGCACCTTATTCAATAATTAACTGAGCAAGAGACAAAGAAAGACTGCCCTAGAAAAGCCTTGCAACATAGAAAAATAAGCACTATGTTTTATATTATTTTGTTACTTGAGCATTCATTGAACTCACGTATTTTAAACTATTGTTTCAGCTAACTTAAAATGTTATAAATACAGCAGAAAAATGGTTTCCATTGTATTTAAAGGGTCTTAACACCTCAAACCCTTAAAAATAAAGGATACCAATTCAGAAAACACTGGACAGAATGAAATCCACTTTGTACAGATTGCTTCAATATATCCGTTTCTACATCAGTTCCCTAACTCCAGCAATGCAACCAGGTTTCAGTTAGCAGGGAAAATACCTTCTTTAGCAATCCCCCTCCTTGTTTTTCCCCCATGCTTTACTGTGGCTTCAGAATTTGTTTACTGCCTTAGAGCCCAACAGCAAATATTCTACCTACTGGAAAGCAACATTCAGAACACACTGGTTTAGGGATGATAATCCAAATCACTCCCAAGAGTTAATATCCCACGTGCAGACGTTAACTAGATTACAGAATTTGTCAGAGATTAAATAAACATTTGTAGTTAATAACTACAACAAGAAAGCGTGAAGTTCCCATTCTCACCTCCTAATTAAGTCAGTCTTCTATCATCTAACCATAGACAAAAGCTTTAGAAACAAAGCTCCTGCAGATCTTATTGTGGGTCTCTCTCAAGCACAAAATTAGATATCATTTAAAATGGAATGTGCAAACAAGCCAAAAAACCAACACAACAAAAAAGAAATCAATGCTCCCAATAGATTCCATTGGGGAAGCAAAGCTTATACTATTGAGAACGCAACCGAGTCAGTAACGGTGCTATGCAGCTCAAATTCAAGAACAAGGAAATTCATTCCAGTGTTTCCATAAGAGGGAGCAAAGAACAAACGAAGCTAATTAGGCTCCTCTGTAACATCAAACATACACGCACTTACTTGTCTAGTCCTTATTCCACATTACTACCTAAAGTATTTTTCTCAAGTTAAAGGATAGTAAAAGGATAGTAAAATACTCTTGAAGCTATTAATTGGACCAGCACAAAACTAAAATTTGTAGATTGCACAGGGAATCATTCTTGAACCTGAAACAGCTTTCAATCGATACTACGCATATCCAGTTTCAAATGTTGACGTTACATATTAAACTAAAGTCAGAGGATGTGTAATTTTCTGTAGCAAGCACATACCTTTATTGTGGCATCCTCTGAAGCAGAGACCATAACACTGAAAACTGGATGGAAAATTACTCTAGTGACAGGACTCCTATGTCCACTCAAAGCATACTTCTCTGGAGGACGGGGAATCCACTCTTTAGGGTCTCGTTTCTGACCAAGAGGTCCACCTGATGTAAATTCTTCCTTAGCTTCATTCAGCTTCGATTCTAATTCCATAACCTAAGTTTATGGATTTTAAAGAGATTGTTTATTTTTTTAGTTTTACAAGGTCCAACTCACCTTCAGTCATTAACAGTCTACATACAAACTGGCTCCCAAAATCATAGCAGAGCATACAGATCCAAATCAATTACTGACATTCAGTAGCACCGGTATTTCTAAAAATTAAAGCTAAATTAAGCATACAATTTATTCCCTTCCAACTGCCCAAACATTTTGGCAGGAAAAAAAAGTTCTGCCAAATCACATTCACTCAACTACCACGCGCAGATGTTTGAGTAACCAACTCAAAAAGTTTATTAGCAATTTTGACAATTGAACCTCATTCAATACATCCTATAAGCAAAAACATGCTTTTTCTTTTGCACTTACTGCTTAGCAAGTCCCAAACACATTAGTACCATAGTAAAGTCTTTTCACGGTCCTTGCACCAAGTAACGAATGCAGTGATTTCGTGATTAGGTACTCTGGCTGGAGAGTATAAGTGCTTTAGGAGGATATACTCACATATGCTTATATCACATACTATATTTGCGGCAGAAGATGAAAAAGGAAGTCATTCAAGAAATTATACAAACATGAAGTCTGCTCTGTCAAAGGAAGACAAGGATATTTGGTGGTACACAATACTTGCAAGTATCGTGCAGTTGCACACCTTACTGAGAGAGGTCTTGCTAACAAAAGAAATCCTGTTACTGCAATCAGTTTGTGTATCCCTGAGATGGGATGCATGTTAACCAACAGTCGAAAGACTAAAGGCATAATAAAATCCTAGATACATCAGCATGCCGTGATTCTTTTTAGTGCTTTTAATACGCTCTAGACCCACTGAAGCATTTCTATCAGAGTTTTGTACTGTCCATTTATAGTAGAGTCACTTGCTCTAAGGCACTACAGCTAATGGTTTCTTCTCTTTAAATAACAGCCAAAGACACTAGCAGAAAAGGTTTTAACCTTCTTTCTAAACCAGTTAAGCCTTCCGGAAACCGCCATTCAACCTTCCCATTCATAAACTTCCCGAGGGCACTTCTTTCCTTTCCAGCTTCATGAATTACACATAGCCCATAAGGTGAAGTCAAGAAATTTTTATAACACAGCTGAGATTTTGCCATTTTCCCTGCTCAAGTCAGCGAAATTCATCTCTGGGACATCAATTACTAAACCCTGCATTTGTCGGACGAAAAAACAGGCAACCTTCTGTTCAGTGATGAACGTTACCCTTTTAGGCATAACCTTTTATATAAATAAATCCATCAGATCTCCACTTACCTTCTTTTGTAATCTTATAACTGACGTCCATTTTTTCTCCAGAAGTCCAGCATACTTTTTATCTAACTCTTCATTCTGGAGGAGGGGGAGCGTTTAAATGAATAAATATTAGTTCTGATGCCTGTAGGAATGTTTTCTCAAAAGCAATATATATAGCTCATCTTAATAAAGTTTCTTAACTACAGAAAGAATTCAAGTGAGACTAAGTAGAGTTTTACTAGTAAAAGCAAAACAATGACAACCTTTCAAATTTTAATAACCACAATTTACATATAGGGAAAG